AGGGTTTTTAAAAAAAAAAAAAAAAAAAAAAAAAAAAAACTAGTGTTACAAATAAGGGTTAAATATATTTTTTTTTGTCATTCAACTTTTATCGATTTTCACTTTTAATCTTTAAATTTTTCTTCTCATTAACATTTTTGGTCCTCGGAGTTCAAATTTTTTGTTCACAGAGAAAAAATTTAAGGACTAAAACTAAATAATTTGTTTTGGAGTTAAAAGTAAAAAATTTACAAAAATTCAAGGAATAAAAACATTTAATCCTACAAATAATATACAAGACTAAGATCATTGTCACTATACAAAGACTATAATGCCATAACGTATCATATAAACATATTAAGCAAGCAACCTGAATGACAGCAGTTTACTGAAATCTACAAATTTGAGTCCTTTTGCAACTCAACCATAATCATCTCAGTTGGGGTTGTGATGATTGTCACACTGAGTGAACATTTTCTTGATGGCCTCTTCCTTCTCATCAATGAAGTTAAAAAAGTTAACAAAAACCTGGGAACAATGAATGCTTGGTGATTCTGACGATGATGAAGCACTATCCTTTTGTCTTTGTTTGAAGCGGGCGTATTGGCGAATCATTCGCAGCAGAAACACCAGAAGTGCAGCAAGAGAGACAACACCACATGAGAGATAGAGGCCCCAAAAACTAACCAAGTGAAGCTGATCAGGCTTGGACTTAGAGTTGCTTGTTCTTTCTTCAGGACAACCCATCTTACAGAACCACTTCTCATGTATCTTATGAAGATCTCCATGCTCGGAGAGTTTCAAAATTGCTGTAGACATGTCAAAGGCAAGAGGAGAGTCTCTTTGAAAAGCCTGGTGTGTTGTTATAAAATGTAAGGAAATGCCAAATATACTAAAAACATATAAATAAAAGGCTAAAATAGATTTTTGATCCCTTATTTTATTTTTTGTTTCAATGTGGTCAAATTTAGAAAGTTTCACTTTGATTTCTTAAAGTATCTCTGTTAGACCAAGTTGTCCTTCCATCAGTTTATCTTATTAATTTAGTCAATTTAATAACATGTAGCAAGCTGGATACCACGTCAGTCAAAATTAACACCATAAGTGCAAAATACTGACAGAAGGACCAATTTAGCTAATAAAATTACTCTAAGAAACCAAAATGAAACTTTTTAAACATAAGAGACCAAACTGAAACCTATTATAAAAATAAGGATCCAAAATTCTATTTTTTAGCCTAAATAAAATAACAGATGATTTTCATAATGTCCACCGTTCAAAACCAAATGACAAATTTGCAATTCTGGAGTGTTGTATTAGCAGCACTACATGCCACATCCAGCAGTTGTTTGGATCATATAAGAAGGGTAGCACAGAGATAAGCCTTTGTTTCAAAATAGTGTTCTAAGAATTTTGAAAATCATATATTGGAGAAAACTTGTTAGAAATTTTCCCACTATGAAACATACTTCCTTTTCAGTCTGGTCAAAAGATATTAATAGACATATTGCTTCTACAAACTATATTTTAATCATGTATACAATAATATATAATAACTTTGATATCCTAGTCAGATGGCCACTTACAAATCCCCAACTGCTTCTGGCGAATGGCTGACCAATAATACCATAATCAGTTTCCTTTGAAAGAAATAACTCGACATATGGAAGCTCATCCACGATAGCTGCCACCCCTCCACCAGACGGCCCCTTCTGCAGCGCTAAAGCATATTCCTCAGGGGAGCCAAGGGAAATGAGTCTTGATTTTGGTATATAAAGATTTTCTGCCATATAGCTGTAAGCAAATGACCCTACTTGGAATCCAATAGGCCAGTTACTACTAATCAAGCTATCAATTCCTGTGATGGGCGATGAAAGCTGCTCCACTGTAAGAATTGAAGTCAAGCTTGCTGTATAGCTAGCCGTGATCACCATCAACAGAAAAAGCCAGACTATCATGACCATTTTAGAAAGTGAGCTCACAGTATTTTCCTCTGATTTCATGACAAAGTGAAAGATTATCAGAAAGCATAATGCAGATCCCAAAAATATCATTCATGAACACCAGAGAAAAGATTCATAACCATTTGGGTTTTCCTTTGTTGATTTTACGTTTAAATTATACAGTTTACATAAAATAATGTAAAACTGACAACTAAGAATGACATACTCATTTTAACAGGTTCATATGTGCATACCATAAGTAAAAAACACCAATGGACTAGCATTGTTGCATGGCAATACTGTTAAATAGTTTCAACGTAGATGTTATGTTACCAATATGTACTTTGTGCAAAACTGATATTGACTAATAAAATAAACATTAAAAAAGGCACAAATATAATTAAGATTGTCACAACAATTTAGCAACTAGCTGTACACTAAATCTTTAAGAGAGAGAGAGAGAGAGAGAGTTTACTATTAGTACTTGCAAAAAAAGAGGGCAATGAATATTAGCTGAGTAAGCTAACATATTATTTGGTTGACTCATCGAACCCATGGATTTTACATTATATGATGACCTTGAGAAAGAAAAAGCAAAAAAAGGAACTATTAGACTTTGGAGATCAATGTTCACTTACGATTTTTCTTAAACAGCGTTGAGAGGCTGAACCTGAAAAAACAAATGACACGGAGTTACAATCTAAAAAGACAGGATCAAAAGGTATTCAAATCACATTAACCTACCAGTTATTTTTTAGTTATAATAGTAGTTCATCGCATAAAAGAATATATGGCAAAACTGCATAACTTAACTAGAAAGACTTACATTAACATCGTCACAAGTTGCTTCTTAGGAGGACCACGGAAGTCATTGTTGACTCGATGCTCAAGAATCCATATAACCACTCCAACCACTATAAATGATGCAGCAGTGGCACACCACATATCTGCTGAAAATGGTTTGAGAAACACCCAAGCATTTGATCTTGCTCTGTTGATAGGAGCCACTATGACAAGGCTAGATGATGCAAAAGGCTGAGAAAAATCCACCATCCTAGTACGGTTTGTCACAATTGCAATGTCTCCAACAACTGCATCATATACCTAAACCAAATTTTCAAGCATAGCAAGGTTATCAAAAATCCCAACATTCAAATACGTAATAAATGTAAAGTACCCACCTATATAAAGCACCTAAATTTTTTCTATTTATCTTATATTGAATAACACTAGAAAACACTGAACACAAACCAATAATGCCAACTACAATTTTTCAATTTCTGTTCCCTTCTTATTTCATGATATTCCACCCAAAATAACAAAAAAGAAAGGGAATTTATGATTTTAAAGACCTTTAAGGTAAAATCGTACAAACAGTTGAGTAATCAAAAACATAATATTATGTCTAACATCTGAATTTTACATATAGCATGGCTATATTTCAGCAAAGTCTGTCAACTTATATAAACAATGATTAACCAATTTTGAGTAGATAAAACATGAATTAAGCAATGTTGAGGATATTCGTTTTTTTCATTATGTGTATCACTTACATTTTCAGCAATCATTTTCACAAGTGCATCATAATTAGGATTTGCTTTACCATTCCCGAAAGGCTTGAATACATAAGGAACTTCATATGGTATAAATTCTAGGGCTTTCTTGAAGACATCGATGCAGTACCCCTCAATTTGATGACTGTCTTGCAGTTCAGTTACAAATTCAACAAAACTTGCTCTTTTCGGCACTCCAATTCTCAGTGGCTTGGTATTATCAGCAATCACCCAGCCACGAGGTCGTTCTGTCTTTCCACCAGGCCAAGTAATATTGCCTAGCTTCTGATATTTCGAAAACCTATTATGTTTCCTTTTTTTAAGAGTTTCAGGGGGTACAACTGAAAATCCTGAATAATTAGACCAAAAACCAACCCCAGTAATTGCCATCCGATTGACATTGATAATATCATAACCACCACTTACAATGTTTCTGTCAGAATTAAACTGAAGTTGACCACTCACTCCAGAAAAATTTGATTGTAATAGTATTTCAACCAGTTCAGATCCACCAGCCAAGACTTTGAGCTTGTCAAGCTTAATACCAATTCCTACTGTATGAGATACCTTATAGTTATCATGAAGCAAGAAGGTAATATTATTATGTAGTTTGATGAATTTATCGATTGAACGTGCAACTGCCCAAACTGTATCATAAGCATAAAATCCATAGGTGGTCAAACTAGTATTTGCTAATCCTTCTTTCTGCATTTTTATCCATCGAGAAGCAAAAGCTGTCTTTTTTCTGGATTCCGGAATGTGTTGACGAAGACCAACAACCCCTTGGAGAACACTAAAAGAAGTCTGGTTCACTGGGGATAATGAATCTAGTGTAGCAGAGAGCCAATCCGTTACAAGCCATACATAATCCTGGGCCATCATTTGAAGTTTATGGGCAACGGAAAAAATTCTCAATCTTGGATCAGGGTTGACATGAACAACATACACACGAGGACCAAACACTTTGGATTGATTGAGCAAGTTAGTGATTTCATCCAGATCAAACTTAATACTCAAAGGCAGTTTATAAGAAATTTTCAATCTCCTTTTTTCAAGTTCATCACTCAAAGCAGATATTCCATTTCTTCCATAATCATCGTCCAAGAATACAACAATGACCTCTTTCCATCCATAAAAGTCAATAAGATCAGCCATTGCAGTCATTTGTGCCAAGTCACTTTGTGTAGTGCGAATAAAATAAGGAAACTGGAGGGAGGACAGGGTTGGATCAGTGGCAGCATATGAAACAAGGGGAACTTGAAGAGCATCAGCAATTTGAGAAATCGTGTGAGCTACAGCAGATGACTGTGGACCAATTATGGCAGCAACCCCTTTCTCAAGTACCTGAAAAGCTGTATAAAGAGCATATTTAATTCAGATAATGTAAATTACAAGTACCCCCAAGTTTAAATTTGGAAATTTCATATCCAACACACAATGTTTGTGGACCATCAGACCTAGATGAGGGTTGGTCATAGCCAACCAAGTAGTTCCTTTAGTAGATCCAACCCTAAGAATGCAGCCGAGTAAGTCTTTAACAAGCACAATACTCAGACCGAGTTCACCACCATAGACCGGCCAACCCCATGGGCCGATCACAACAACCAGCTTATTCTACTACACAATTATCATAGGGCCAAAAAGGCCTATTAGCCTCGGACCAAAGAGATTCTAGACCTTTCTCACATGTGAGTAAGGTGCAATAGGCACCAACCCCTCACACGTGAAAAAAGCACCAGAGGCACCGACCCCCCTCACCTCGTATGGGAGCTTGCTAAGGTTTCTTGAGCTTTTAACCAGCTGTAGGACTCCTGAGGTGTGTTCTCTAGCCCGAGCAGTTTATAAAGTTAAGCTAGAGTAATAATAGAACCAGTGCGGCAAAACAAGAAAGCAACATGAGCTATAACCTTAGAATATGATAAGCTGTCGCTAGAAATCCAAAAAGACCTATTATCAAGCATGATTAGAAGCAATATGCATATCAAACATCAAAATTTGATGTTAGCTGAGATTCTGAGAATGTAGGACATAAGGACTAACCAGTCAACAACATTAGAAACTAACTGAATTCAAACTTAAACTTAGAAACTGCTAAAGGGCAGGGATTTATTTTTCAACTATAGTTTACAACTCTAAGGATCTAGTCAGTTCTGCATCCTCGGTCTATATTTTGCATCCTCAGTCTAAGAGCTTCTAATATGATCCTCTTGTTGTATCGGGTAACTTGCGTGAGAGTCTATGATAAGACAGTGCTCTTACACAGCTGAAGTTAACTTTTTTCATGTTTTAGCATTCATATACAACAACAAGTCAACAACAACAAAAAGTGATGAGTTTCAGGGTTGGCACCTCCAATCGCTCCCAGAAAAGCATTGCACATGGCATCCTTCATTAACAAGTTCAATTTGGTTCCCTTGAGAACTGTGGGATCCGCATTAACATCAGAAACGGCCATTTGCATAGCCTCCTTCGCAACTCTACCAATGACCGAATCGAAAGCAAAAACCGCTCCAATGTTCACACTGCTGGGCCTTCTGCTGTGAGCAACACAGCACACCCAAATCCATGTCACAAGGTGCAAAACCATAATTTTCTTCATTTTTCACCCCAAGTTTCAACTTTTCAAGTCACCCACCAATTTTTTTCACCGTAAAGACCCGAACTTGCCGACACCCACTACCCAAAAGCGCCAGAACATGGTTGAAATAGAAGAAAGATTATTCTTTGATGGGTGCCCATATGAGTTTAGTGGGAAAAGCAGTGGTATAAGGATGCCGTGTAAGCTAAAAGTTGTTCAGTTGAATTCTATACGACGAGCATTCAACGCAATCTCACCGGTATAAAGAAGTGGTGTCATTCCAGGAGAATAGAGAAATTGAATCAGAAAGGAACCAAAGCATCCATGTTATTTTTTTATACTTTACCTTTTTTATTACAACTAGATTTTATATAATAAATTAAGCACAACTTTTACAATGAGATTCTCTCTTAAAAATATTCTTTCTTATTTTTTTATATATTTTTTTGCTAGATTTATGTTATACACTATTTTTTCATTTTTAATTTACTTTTTTTAATATCTAAAATAAATTTTAATATTTTTAAAAAAGAGAAATGATTAAAAATAATTTATTTATATATCTAAAATATAATTTAAATATTTTAAAATATGTATAATAAGTTTTAATTATAATATAATAAAAAATAGTAGAGAGAAGGTAAAAAGAAAAAAGAAAAAAGTAAGAGACTATAAAAGTTATTATAAAAACTTGTTGAATAAATAATAATATTTAATAAAATAATAATAATAACAGTTGATAGCGTGGATTTAAACGCCAAGGCCAAGACAAAGACAGTGGTACATGTATGTGAGAACGAAGCTCCTGCGAAGGACATGTTGGGCCACAAAATTAATTGTTAGATAACACACCCACCGATAAGGTTGGATCATCTTAAATTTCTCCAGTCAAAGGTAAACTTTTCGCATTTATGTCTCGTTTGGTTAAAAAGAAATGGGTAAAAAATAAAATAAAAAATAAAAATAAAAGTGAAAATAAATAAAATTATTTGATTGAAAAAAAATAAGAAAGTAAAAAAATTAAAAAGTAGTATATTCTTATTTATTTAAATTTATTTAATTTTGTCTCATCTCTTTTATATTTCTATTATTTACATATTTCTTATTTATTTTTTTAATTAAATAATAAAATTTTTATTCTTTTTTTTTAATCTATTTTTACTTATTTTTTTTATTTTTTTTCTACTCTATTTCTCACTTAATATTTTTAATATAAAAAAAGTTGCATTTATTCCACGTTTCTTTTCACATTTAACTTTACAAAAGTTGCAGTTTTTTTTTCCCACAATTAACATAACAAGAATTGCCTTTTTTTTTAACACATCAACAATAAAACATGGTCGAAAATTCACCCCCAAAAAAATATGGTAGGAAAGACCTATACTTAATCGTACCTTCAACTCAAAATTTAAATAAGTATGAATCACCTTCAACTTTAAAAGTTATTCATATGAATGCATATCTGGCAATAAAAATTAGTCGGGCTAGTTCAAATAAGGTCCTTCAAGTTCTTGCTTTGGATTTTTAAGGAAGAAAAAAAAATATAATATTAAAATTTATACAATTTCACATTAATTAGTTTAATATAGTGACAAATAATGTGTTTTCTTTTTCATATAATTCAAACCATGGAGGAGCACAAATAACTTTTATTTTTTTTCACGGATCTAAATTTTTGTGCTACTTTTATTTCATAAAATAAAATATAAAAAAAACCTTCATCTCAAAGTTCATTTAATACCTCAAAGTTCATTTAATACCTTAAAATATGTTCAGGCAACCTTCAAAAATAATTTTTAATGATCATAATCTTACTTGTAACACTTTATTTTTAGTGATTGTTATTGATTTTATTAAATATACATTATGTTGATTGTTGTTTTAATGTTGAGAAACTTTGAAATTATGAAATTCCTTATGAGATTTTAGTTGTTTAGTGATGTTTCTAAATAGGAATCATGTTTGACCTTTAGAGAAAGATATATAAAATTTTTCGTAAGACTTGAACTTTATAAATTTATTTCTTAAGAACCTTTAAGAGATAAACTCTAAAGAAATAGACTCGTCTTTTGAAACTCTTCTTCTTAATCTTTCTAGCCTTCCAAGAATTGTAGAGATTCTAGTTGACCTTCTGGTCTGTGATTCAAGGTTGTGGAGGGTGAGGAATTTGAGTGAATATAGAGAGTTGACATTGGCCCAAAGGCGTTCTTCTTCTTCTTCCTCGATTCTCTTCGAGTTCGAGGTGAAGGGTGTTAGAATTGTAATTCTTGATTAATTTTGGAGTTACATGTAGTTTAATTTCATCTCTATTGTGAATGTGTTGATTGAATCGGAGGATGAAATGTTACGTTTTGGGTTTTAGTTAGTTTTTGAAGAAGTTATGAAGAGGATGATGATTTGATGTTATTAATTGGTTGCATTTTGAAATTTATGGCATTTCTGAGTTGGTGTTGTAGTGTAGATATATTTTCTTGCATTGCATGTAGGCTTTCATGGTTTTCATGTAAGGGGAGGGCCAAATTCGTGATCTACTATGTGCATAACTCACTATTGTGCCAAGTGCGCCTTCATAGTGTCAGATGTGGTTTTAATCAAAGGTTCTCTACCTTGTTCACGTCGAGCACAAGATAGGTAGCGTTGGGCATGAGAGGTGATAATTGTCTTAGGTTGGAATGACATCGGGCATGGTTTTAATGGAGTCAGTTGTGAGATGAGAGAATTAGCTTTGCCTAAACTAATGTTAGGTGCTAATAGAGTGGTGTCGATGTGAGGAAAGAAACTCGCCTCTGTCTAAAATGGGGTCGGGAGTGAAACTTGACTGCGCAAGGCGTGAATGCCTAGGGGTTTCTCTCCTTATCCACATTGGGCGTAGGATTGAATGGCACCAGATGTGGTTGAGGCAAGAAGCTCCTTATCTCAATGTCGCTGGGCCAAGGTGAATGGCACCAGGAATGAACTTCCTCATGAACATTTCTTAATGCTTAAGTGGTGAACATGAATAGGTTAATTAAATTTATTACATGTTGTACAATGATTAACTTGAATTTATTATATGTTGTATGTTGATGTATAGAATTGAATATTTATACCTTTATATTATATGATGAAAATGAATGATTAAATAGTTGAAAATTGAGTTGAGTTATATGTTGTTTATTTGAGTAATTGTATTGAGAATGTTTAAAGAATGATGTTGAAAGTTATTGATCAACCTATGACTAAAGAAGGAATTGTTTTAAAGTTGCATATCTCATTGTGAGTATATCGTATTATGGTGCTTTGAGAGCATAGTTTGTCGAAAATCCTTTTTGAGAAGTTGACCCTTAGAGTGTATAGTTGAGTTTCCTATAGAACATTAGTCAATGCAATATATGGGCCAAGTCGAGACATACTGACTACAAGTGGTCATTGTTGATCCATATGTGGAAAAGGTCAAGACATACATGTATAAAGTGACCACACTATAGTAAGATACAAGATTGGGGGCTGACTCCTTAACTAAGTACTAGAAGGGCATGATATTTAGAGGATAGTCGCCAAACTAATTACATAGGTGGCTTAATTATGCTAACTAATATTATGGTATGCTCACACCCAAATTGTTATCCTTTGATACGAATACTATACTTCCCAATTTAAGTGGAAAAATATGAGAAACCATGTTGTGTTGTGGATTATTATCCAAAATTGGTTGTTGATCTAGTTGGATTGAAAAAATCAGGTTGTTGGTCTAGTAGGAGATCTTTTAGTTGAAATGCGTGATGAGACATATATTTGATTTGTTGTACATATGCGATTGATATTGTTAAGTTGTGTGATGCATATGTTTAGTTGTGGTGTGATATATATACGTTGAGTGTGTTGTGCACATATTATGCTACATGGTTGATGAGTTGTATTTTGTTGCTAAGTTGTAGGTTAATGTTATATTGAAGCATGTTGAGTTATTGTGTTATAGTATAGTAAGATTTACTTATGTACTTTTTATGTTAATTTTTTTTAAAATATTAGTTTACTCTTGCATAGTTTTCATATGGTTAGAGTGTGATGATTACACTTAGTATGAGAGTAAAGTAAGGATGAGATAGAGGTGGAGCTTTTGTGGCCCTATTAGTGATGATGGTGTGGACTTTTTGAACTATCCTAAAGTAGTTGGTTAGTAGTAATGTTGTTTGATCGACAATTAAGATTCCTTTCCATATAATAGTACATGATTACTATATATATATATGTATA